CTATACCAACATCAAAAAAAGTTCAGAGTTTATTTTCGACGAAACTTTATAGTTCTTCATGTCAGAATAACCTACGACAAGAAAAGACGGAAAAATAGCGAAAATTTGCTATTTTCGTCCATACACTTATTTTCCCAGGTGGCAAAATAACAGAGTGACACTTACGACGAGCTACCCGGTACAATCGCTACTATTCCACGCTCCATAGTCTGCTTCAGGGCCGCATGATAATTTTTATCTGTTCTTGAGTGGACAAAGCAAGTGACCAAAACATTCTCGACGAGTATATGTTTACTTCTCGAGTACCGCTAACAAGCAGTAACATATTTCGATGGGCATCCTCAAGATCAGGAAGAAGAAATGGATAGATGAAGTACCGCGTAAGCGAAAAAACATCGTGTAGCCTCGAACGTTATTATAGTAGTTAGTTATCCGCCTCTTGACAATTCCGCATACGCTAAAAATAAGCGTACCTACGATTAACTGCCGATATTTTCGTCTCTTTAAAAATATGCAAATCGAAAAACGTTTATGCGGCGATAAATACGAGCCACGGCCTCCAATCGATCTGGTGGCGCTAGATCAAATATTTGCGGAATAAATTACATGACATAAGAATTTAACGTGTAAATATTAATAATGACGCATTGTTTTTTTTTTTTTTTGAAAGTAATGTGGCGTCCTATCACACTAATTGTTTAATCGTTAAGAAGATAAACGATACAAGATTTATATAAACAGGGTCCGTTCTACAGGGTGATTCAGTCGTAATGTCATTAATTTTAACCACGTATTCGGAACGCCTAATAAAGACAGAAAATTACAATCACGGGAACGCGCAGGCGCACACAGAGCGTTTGAACGTTGAAGCTTGAAGAGAAACAGCATATTTCCCCAGTCGTCTTGCAGTTGATTTCAAAATTAAAGTGCAGTAGATTCCAACTTAACAAAGTGCTATGGACAGATGAGTGAAGTGGTTTTTTAGTCGTACTGTCATTTTAAATAGGTAGGTACCATACCACTCTTTGAAAAGCAATAGGTCACTAGATATACGTGTACTATAAACTGAATAATTAATTGAACGTAACACTAAAAACTCATATCCAATTATAAAACATAGTGAACACGTTAACAATATTAAAAATATTAAATTGTAATAACCTAACATTCGAAAACAATTATTATCCTTATATGTATATTTATTTTTATTAACAAATTAATAATACCTGTCAATACATATTTAAAATGTAAAAAAATATCTTATTCATTGGTGTGTCTAGGTAAAAGGTATGTTTTTTCGTTCACTATTAAAAACACAATAAAAGTGACCGAATATGGCAGGTTAAGGTTCACTCTTGATAAACCTTTGTAGGTCAGCAGTCAGTAGCGGTCCGGAAAGGCGGTAAAATAATGATTTGAAAATATTTTCTTTCAAAGTAAATATGTAATTTAACATTTTTTTGACCCAATAGATTGGCCAAGTTATTGGTCGTATTTTTTTTTTCATTAATAACAGAAGTGTTCCATCACACTAATTTCTTAACTTTTAAGTTATTTTGAATTATACAGTGTGTCTTATTTCTTCTGGGCATTTTTCTAATGAAATAGCTCGAATATTGATAATTTATTGTTGAATGAAGGTCTACTTTAATAAACAGATATTTGGGTTTAAAACGTACCATTTCGATGTTATTACAATTTTTTTAATTGGCGTTAGCAGATAGAAGTTTTTTAAATTTTTTGTGGAAAAAATTAACGAAATACATTTTTTAGAAAATAGTTTTGCCTAATCAAAAATCTTACATAAAAAAGGACAAATACACAATACACACTGTATCTCTAAAAAGTTTCGAAAATCTATTTTTGTTTTCTGAATTTATGACAGTTTTTAATTTTTGACAGATTTTTGATTTTTTTAAATACATAATGTTGCAATATGTATGCACTTTTTTAATTTTGAAAAATCATTATTTCGTGTCTTTTACAACAAAGTCCGTACAGTATGAGTTGTCCGAAAAACTGTTCTTAAATTAAATTTTTCACATATTTTCCTTCATTTTTCCGATAATTTCCTTTTGTTGTCTAATAGAATTTGTTTTACCTCGAATATTCTTAAAAACGGTTTCAACAAATTTTTCAGGGTATTGATCGTTTATTAGTACATTTTTTTATGAATTTCAATTCATTATTAACAATTTTATCTTTTGAATTTTGTATTTACCTATATCTATGCTCTTTTTTCAGTGTAAGATATTTGGATTTGGGTAGGCAAAAATATTTGCACAAAAATAACGCTTCACTTCGCAAAAAAGAAAATTAAATGTTAATGTGTCCAAAAAATATAGTTCCATTAAAAAAAATCAAGTTACTCATGATACAAAATGTTTGTGAAATGTTTTTGTTGCGTGGGATTCTTATCAGTGTAAAAGATGTATTTAAAGTAAAGTGTATTAAAAACTGAAGCTTACAGCTACCGTACAGGGTATTTTTATTACATAGTTTGCTTATTACCACGTTTCATTTTTATTCTGAATGTTAGTAGCTTTGTACTGACAAACAGAGAAATGTGACAATGTCTTGAGTTAAAAATTTTTAAAATAAGTAAATTTCTACAATTAATTCCACATATTTTAAACCAAAAATAAGGGAAACAACAATAATTATCCCCAAGTTTAGTCTTATATACATTTCATTGTTTTTTGTTCTTCGTTTTTGTGCCACCCTGTATGTCAACGCCACCTAAAGGACAAAGAAATTCCCCGGCGATAAAACCCGACACTAAAGGCGTTGCTCGTTTAAAAAAAACGTAGACGACTCGTAAAAAATTCTGTTCTTAATTGGAATCGTGGCTCACCTGTGTATAACACCAATTTTCTGCGACCGGAGTGTTGACCTCTTGAGGCGGTGGACTGGGCACACGGCTCACGGCCATAGTACTTGTGGGGTGCAGATTGGAGGTAACTCTGGCCGTTTGGCCGGCCGAGCAGTCACTCACCCCCGGCAACCTGTAACAAAGGAGAAATTATCATTAAAGACGGCTCATTACCCTCCGGACGAGATTCAGAATGTTAATCATTCGAGTGGCAAATATACCAACTGTCAGAACGACTCGGTATAGTAGGCCTTGTAAAACTGTGGACGCGATCCAAAATATTCACAAAAAGCACAAAATATTCGTAAAAAGGAGCCAAATATTCGTAAAGCGGAACTGTTAGCAGAATAGCAAAAAGTATTCACAAAGAGGCGCAAAGTATTCATAAACAAAAAGAAAANCGGGAAAAAAGTACTCACTTTTTTCCCGGGGAAAAAAGCAATTTCATAAAAAGTGACATTTTATTACCTGTCAACAGAGATAAAATGTCAAACTTTTTTCCCGTTACAGAAAAAAATATTTTATTCATTCATGTTTATAGGTAAAAAGTTATGTTTTTTCATTCACTATTAAAAACACAATAAAAGCTAGGTTGGTGACCGAATATGGCAGATCAAGATTCACTTTTGATAAACCTTTGTAGGTCAGCAGTCAGTAGCGGTCCGAAAAGGCGGTTAAATAATGATATGAAAATATTTTCTTTCAAAGTAAATATATATTTTAACATTTTTTTGACCCAATAAATCGGCCAAGTTATTGGTCGTATTGTTTTTCATTAATAACACAAGTGTTCCATCACACTAATTTCTTAACTTTTAAGTTATTTGGAATTATACAGGGTGTCCTATTTCTTCTGGCATTTTTCTAATGAAACAGCTCGAATATTGATAATATATTGTTGAATGAAGGTTTACTTTCATAAACAGATATATTTGGGTTTAAAATGTACCATTTCGATGTTATTAACAATATTTTTAAATTGGCGTTTGCAGATAGAATATCAATTTTTTTATTTATTTGTGAAAAAATGAACGAAATACATTTTTTTGAAAATAGTTTTGCCTAATCAAAAATCTCACATAAAAAAGGACAAATACACAATACACACAGTATCTCTAAAAAGTTTCGAAAATCTATTTTTGTTTTCTGAATTTATGACAGTTTTTAATTTTTGACAGATTTTTGATTTTTTTAAATACATAATGTTGCAATATGTATGCACTTTTTTAATTTTAAAAAATCATTATTTCGTGTCTTTTACAACAAAGTCCGTACAGTATGAGTTGTCCGAAAAACTGTTCTTAAATTAAATTTTTCACCTATTTTCCTTCATTTTTCCGATAATTTCCTTTTGTTGTCTAATAGAATTTGTTTTACCTCGAATATTCTTAAAAACGGTTTCAACAAATTTTTCAGGGTATTGATCGTTTATTAGTACATTTTTTTATGAATTTCAATTCATTATTAACAATTTTATCTTTTGAATTTTGTATTTACCTATATCTATGCTCTTTTTTCAGTGTAAGATATTTGGATTTGGGTAGGCAAAAATATTTGCACAAAAATAACGCTTCACTTCACAAAAAAGAAAATTAAATATTAATGTGTCCAAAAAACATAGTTACATTAAAAAAAATCAAGTTACTCATGAAACAAAATGTTTGTGAAATGTTTTTGTTGCGTGGGATTCTTATCAGTGTAAAAGATGTATTTAAAGTAAAGTGTATTAAAAACTGAAGCTTACAGCTACCGTACAGGGTATTTTTATTACATAGTTTGCTTATTACCACGTTTCATTTTTATTCTGAATGTTAGTAGCTTTGTACTGACAAACAGAGAAATGTGACAATGTCTTGAGTTAAAAATTTTTAAAATAAGTAAATTTCTACAATTAATTCCACATATTTTAAACCAAAAATAAGGGAAACAACAATTATCCCCAAGTTTAGTCTTTATATACATTTCATTGTTTTTTGTTCTTCGTTTTTGTGCCACCCTGTATGTCAACGCCACCTAAAGGACAAAGAAATTCCCCGGCGATAAAACCCGACACTAAAGGCGTTGCTCGTTTAAAAAAAACGTAGACGACTCGTAAAAAATTCTGTTCTTAATTGGAATCGTGGCTCACCTGTGTATAACACCAATTTTCTGCGACCGGAGTGTTGACCTCTTGAGGCGGTGGACTGGGCACACGGCTCACGGCCATAGTACTTGTGGGGTGCAGATTGGAGGTAACTCTGGCCGTTTGGCCGGCCGAGCAGTCACTCACCCCCGGCAACCTGTAACAAAGGAGAAATTATCATTAAAGACGGCTCATTACCCTCCGGACGAGATTCAGAATGTTAATCATTCGAGTGGCAAATATACCAACTGTCAGAACGACTCGGTATAGTAGGCCTTGTAAAACTGTGGACGCGATCCAAAATATTCACAAAAAGCACAAAATATTCGTAAAAAGGAGCCAAATATTCGTAAAGCGGAACTGTTAGCAGAATAGCAAAAAGTATTCACAAAGAGGCGCAAAGTATTCGTAAATAAAAGAAAAGTATTTGCAAAGCCGCGACGTATTCGCAAAACAGCGCCAAAGTATTCGCAAAAGGTGCAGAGTATTCATAAAGAGGCGCATATTTTAAAAAGCAGCCAAATGCTTTCAAAGAGGTGAAAACTGTCCACAAAATAGGGAAAAGTATTCACAAAGAGGCTCAAACTATTCGTAAAAAGGAGCAAAATATTCGTAAAGCGGAACTGTTAGCAGAATAGCAAAAAGTATTCACAAAGAGGCGCAAAGTATTCGTAAACAAAGAGAAAAGTATTTGCAGAGCCGCGACGTATTCGCAAAAGGTGCAGAGTATTCATAAAGAGGCGCATATTTTAAAAAGCAGCCAAATGCTTTCAAAAAGGTGAAAACTGTCTACAAAATAGGGAAAAGTATTCACAGAGAGGCTCAAACTATTCGGAAAGAGAAGAAAAGTATTCGCAAAGAGAAGCAAAATATTTATAAAAAGAAGCTAAGTATTCATAAGTTGTTCATAAAGTATTCTCAAAGTATTTATAAANAAAGGTGAAAACTGTCTACAAAATAGGGAAAAGTATTCACAGAGAGGCTCAAACTATTCGGAAAGAGAAGAAAAGTATTCGCAAAGAGAAGCAAAATATTTATAAAAAGAAGCTAAGTATTCATAAGTTGTTCATAAAGTATTCTCAAAGTATTTATAAAGTATTCGCAAAAATAATGTATTAAGAAAAGAAAGGGCATGCGGAATACACAATAGGCGCAAGGTATTCACGTTATTTTTTTTATTTATTTAAAACATAAATGAGATCTCTGTCCAAATTAAAGGCGCTTATCTAATAAATACCAATCTCTAGGAATAAGGCCTAATAGACTGTCTAAAAGCGCGTTAAAATAGAACAAATAGTGGTTCGAGGACGGCCGTTTTCCGATTCCAAACGACTTTCTTTTGTTCCCGGTCTTTCTCCAGCATCGATTCGATCACAGCTCACTCAATAAGCCGTTAATCGCCTCATAGGCAGAGTTAATACCTAATCCTACGTAGCGAAGAAACTCAGAAGTGTTCCCATTTTAAAATAATGATATTTGGAGAAAGTGAATTGCTTTAGGAGCAACTAAAATAAAAGTATGAATGTCGAGGGAATGGAATAACACGAGTTAAAATCCGGATTAGTTTTTAAGTCTGAACAAAAATAAAGTAACAATAAAATTTTTTGTTTTAATTTAATTTTAATTAATTAAGTATTTATAACATACAATTGGATTCGTAACTGAAAATACTAGAAATAATTGCGATATACAAGGTTGATAAACTACGAAAAAACAGAGAAAAAAGAAACGAGGTTAATTACAGTTAGCTACAGATAATTTCCGGTCGAAGCGGAAATTGAACAGAAACCGATGGACATCACCGAAATCTTTCAAATCGTTTAATGGAAAAATACAAGGCGTTTGTTATACAAAACCTTTTATAATGATATTTAATTGTTCTGATTTAATTTTCCGATCAAAATGTGTGGTAAATAGGTTAAAGTCCCTGGCATGACCTACGCGATCACCCGATCTTAGTCCAACAAAATTTTTACCTAAAAATTACCCCTGCAAAGGCGCCATAAGACAGCTTCCTTCCTAGCACTACTACACATAATTTTTTTAGCCTAATATAACAACCTTAACTTTACTATTCCATTTCTCTAAAAAAAATCAGATATTGTCCGCGTTTATTTTCGTAACCGCCGCTGGCGTCCGTCGGTTCATTCACTGATTTGTGCAATCAGTCCCGTTTAGCGGCAGCGCGTAACAAATCTCATGAATAGGTAGGTGGTGACCTTCTTTTTTCCGCCTTGGTACGTAATTATGGGGATCCTTCACTGGTGTAGTAGTAAGCGGTGTATTTTTTTCGCCACACGACATTTACGCGCAGCGTAAAGCTCGCCGCACACCCCACGACTTATCCGTCAAAACGGACCGCGGGTTACGAACGGCGTAAAGCCAACCGTACACTTAAAGTGTAATAAACACGAACCTGCTCTACTTTAAACTTACGCACTTATAACAATAAGTACCTAACGTAGAAGCATAAGGATTACAAGAAAAAAAATTTAGTCCATTTGAAAAAAAGCCAATAAAGTGAACTGAACAATGTACTTTAAATTAAAGGTTCCTGTTTAAGATTCAACATAATAAACAGTTCAGGTCGTCGAAAATAACCGTGGTAAGTGCTTGTTGTGACTTCTTATAAATTATTACTAATAGACCATTACATTTCCGCTGTAGTGTGGCGCTTTAGCAGGTTAACGACCCGCTTTCTTTACGGTTTGACGTTTCACTCAAAACAATAGAGTGACATCAGCACCCTGGACTGTGCCAAAACGCAAACGTCATAGCTGACCATAAATATATGGAAAATACGGAAATCCACAAATGACAGACGCACATATTTATCCTGAAACGCGATAGGGTCAGTAAAATTTAGATTCCACTTTGATTCCGTGGTTTTTATATTAGTTCTGAATATCTAGAACAAAATAAAAATATACTAACATTCCCTCACACATACTTTTTGCTTACATTTTTTGTCTACAGCATCTAGAACAAACTAGAAGTAGATCGACACTCCCTACATACAAAAATGACAACCGTTAATGCAACGTAATGGCAGTGCAACAATTTCGAGGTTAAAACTGGTGACGACTTTCCATTTAAGTGATCTCAACTGACTCTGGTGTAGATGGATCACTTAAAACGAAAGTGAACTTTGGCAGATACCTATTTATACGAACAACTGAATAACGATAGCACACCTCGAGCTTTCAAACACGGGGTCACTCAAGGAAAAGTCGTTTTAGATTACATTATCTATTTCCTTTTATCGGAATGCATCAACGACCTCGTACGCTGATAGTTCAAATGAAGGTTCCTTTAGAATCACAACGATTTTTTAACACCCGAAAAATATATAAATATAAAATTGCAGTTAAGCTTTCCGATCTAGAGTCATGGTTGATTTATATGAAGAAACATGTTTTTAAGGTGTCGTAAAAAAAGCAACTAAGTCCTATCAGGCCTAAAAATATCGTAAGAATTAACACTATCGGATAAATATCATTAAAGGTTGTAATTCTTTTCCTTTATCTTCATTACTGTAAGCATTTTCGTACTGGTACGTGATATTTCAGTTCCTTTAAAGTCATGTTTGGCTGTATCCTCACGAATTTGCCATCAAAAAATACAAAACAAACGAATAGGGTCGTTCAACTACATAAATGGAAATATTTTCTTAAATTGCATATTGGAAAAAAACATATTTGGATTTGCTCAAGAAGCGGTTGGTGTCGAAGTTCTATACGGGGTGTATATTAAATTTTTACAAAAAATTTCGTAATATTTCCAGCTTTTCCAGGCAAATTTGAAAAAACATACAGTTACAACACTTCCATTTTTTGATAATCACCATTTCCCAAGTTTCTTTTAGGAGAAAATTACATTATTTTAATAGGTTAAAATAAAAACATGTATTTTCCAAAAACTATCTGGAATGTTTAGCCAATTTCTAATAGCGTTAATAAATAATACTACAAAATCAGTACATATTTTTTTGGTCAAATTATTAAGAACTTTATTAAAGAATTTACGTCAGGAAATTGTCCAAAATGGATTTTTTTAATCTTTTCTTTGAGCGAGCTTTTTTGAGAAAAATTACATTTATTAAGTTAGGCAAAGTTAAATTAGGTTTTTCAATACTTCTGGTGTAATTTGTACATGCCAATGATATTTATAATGATAAATTTAGATCAGGTTAGGTTTGTAAATATTATTCTTTATTAATGCTCAGCTTAGAAATCTAGAATTAATCTTTTCATGGAAACAAATCATCAAATAATTTTATTTTTGGTTTTTTACTAATTGCTGGTATTTTACTCGTTTTTGAGGTTAAAAAAACTTTTTTATTTTATTAGGTTAGGTTATGCTAGATTTGGAGTTCTTGAAACAAAATTCACATACCTTTTGCGACGATAAACTATTAATAATTTACTTTTATTTAGCTATCAACAAATATTATTGAATGTTAAAACAATAATACTTTATAACTTGTTTTTAGGTTATGTTAGATTAGGTTAGGTTAGGTTAGACTATGGGAATTTAAATTTGTTTCAAAAGGCTGTGTAAATTGTAGGTGTACTTAAATCAATTTTTAGGACTTTATTTTGATTTTTTATTGTTTAGAATATTAAGTTCACCGATGTCTAAGAAAAAAGCAATATCTTACACAAAAAGTTAAAATGTTAATAAATTTCTATAAATTTAGAGTAATTTTTCTCAAAAAAACTCATGAGGGATCTCTTAGGAAATTTTTACAGAAAAGATTTAAAAAAAGTTTCCATTTTGGACAATTTTTATAGGCTCTAGGCGTTGGGACTATCAACTACAAAATGCCCCAGTATGAGGCGGACTACAGAGCGTTCGAACATTGAAGCGAAACAGCTGATTTCCCCAATCGTGTTAACAAAAATAGTGTCTATTAGCAACTAATATCAGTTCAGAGTGACTCGAGTTGTTATTAGATGCTAACAGCTACAATTTTTCCCAAATCCAAAGGCCCCCAGGTAAATTAAAAGCAGTTAAGACATAAGTGTCCCCAACTGCGGCAATAAAAATGATTAGTGAATATCGCTTAAGCAGCGAATGACACACATTTAACAATTCTGGAACTCTCCATACAAGAATGTACTGCTCTAAAACAACTCTTACCTTAGATGGCAAGGG